TATTTTATTGTAGGTTCTGTTAATCTTGTATTTAAGGATGCAAGTAGAAATATTTAGATCACCCCAAAAAATGCACGCTTATCCCCGTCAATGTATTTAAAATTAAAAAAAAATTAAATTTAAACACTCTGTACCTCGGAAACAAAGAACATTTCGACCTACGTTTATATGAACTTCTTTTCATAAAATAACTTCGGCAACCGCCCCCTAAAATATTACGCACTTATTTTTAAACATCCTGTATATCAAAAACGATTATTCTGTGCCTTTATGTAGTTGTTTAAGGATTACAGTTAGGATTATTAACATACCTACACGTGACACTAGCGGTGGTCGAAATTAAAAACCGGTTGACTTTGAAATAAAGTAATTTTAATTGCTTTCAAAAGTGTAATAAATTACAACTATTTGTATAAATTTAATTTAAACACCTCTCGAGCAAAGAAGAGGTGACCTTGAATTTTCTCAGTGGACAAGTTGAGAAAAACAGTTGCAGCTTTGCGGCGCCTTTAGTAGAACATAAATAAAAATGTTTTCTGTCGTCCCTGGTATATTTACTATATGATATTTTTTATCTTATCGTATTTCTAATTCCGGGAAAAAATTGTAGGTATACAATTTATTTTTATCGAAAACCGTGTAATGTTAATTAACGTATTTATTCAACTTCGGCTAAGTACAGGTAGAAAGACCTGCCGAATGCGATATGACACATTATAAAATTATATTTTTTCTCTTAAGTGTTTTTTTTGTCCGCATAATATTTACTGCATTCCGCAAAATAGCGGTCACCTGATGGAACGGTAAACTGCAAGTAATCTCCTTCAACTGTTACATAATCAAATGTCAACGGATAATATAGGATTCGTTACGAATTGTTCTGCATTTTTTAAATAAATTAATTCCATACCGATAAACACTTGCTGCCTGCCATATTATCGTTATTAATTTATTACTGGCAGCAATTACGATTATTACAGTAATTTAAGTGTGATAATAACGGTGTTACTACCATTAACATAACTCTAAAGGTTACCAGTTTTTTACAAGGTGAATGTTAGTCTCGAAATACTCGTATGTGTATATAGAGTGAACCGTATGTCGCAAAACGTACTACATTAATAAACATGGAGAACTATGAAAGTTTTCTTGGTGAAATTTTAATCAATTGGGTCGATTTATGGAAGTACGGCCCTGCAAAGTTCTAAAAGAAATTTTTAAATTTCCTACAGGTGCAGTGCAAATAACTTGCATAATTTAGTGATACTACAGAAAAAATAAAATATTCGTAAATACAGGGTGGTCCAGATTTGAATAGACAAACTTCGGGAAAGTACTAAACAACAAAAATTAACATCACTTTGCTCTATGAACATAGGTGCAGAAAGCCACCGTTTATGAGATACAGGGCGTTGAAATTAACAAAAATAAAATAATTTTTTTAAATATCTGGAAAACCGCATCATAATATGTCTCATAACTTGTAAACCATTCACTTTTCGACAAAAATAAAAGTGTTTTTTCATCCGCAATGTTTCAGACCGTTGTAATATGTATTCATATTACCAATTAATTCAGTGGCATAAAAGTTTTACTTTAAATAGAGAAACGATATCATTGTTTGTCCGCCACTGGTTTTTGAATTTGGACTGTGTGCATACAGAACTAGGAGAAATATTTGAAAAAAAGTTTGTACCAAATTTGGATAAATTTGATGAAGCGATTTTAAAAAAAAATTGTTTTACTTTTGTTAATTTCAACGCCCTGTATCTCACAAATGGTGGCTTTCTGCGCCTATGTTCATAGAGCAAAGTGATGTTAATTTTTGTTGTTTAGTAGTTTCCCGAAGTTTGTGTCTTGAAATCTGGACCACCCTGTATAGTAGCGTAAATATAGAGGCGGATGCCATTTTACAAATAAAAAATTATAAACCGGGGGTTTTTAGTCACCGTGTACAATTTTTCGAATTATAACAACTTATAAAAATAAAACCTTATGTAAGTTTATTGTAAGAGGTACGGTTTTTGAAATATCCGCAATTTTCGATGACAAATTGTTTCAAATAAGTGACGGGAAACCATATTTTCATCTAAACCCAGGTTAAAAAAACATAAATACTTCTGCTTTCGATGATTTAGCCGATATGCAGTTTGTGTTTGAGTAAAGCTAAGGGATGAAAACGAAATACTTGAAACAATTTGTCATCTAATATTCAGAGCTTGCAGTTTATACAGGGTGATTAACTTTTTATGATTAGGCCATTAACCATCGATAGATCTCATCAAAATAATGTCATTTTGAAGTATACACTTTCTCTTCCAAAGGCTTCCTTTTAGAGATGTAAGATCTTGAAAAAAAAATATATTTTTTTTTGGTTTTTATTTATTTTTTCTTAAGCTATGAAAGCCATTTGTCTTATAATTAGTATGAAGTGTATAAGCTCTATCGATTTTACAAATTATTGTGAAAATTGATCAATCATAGGCGTCCGTAAGGGGCTCTGATTTTTAATATAATTTCTGCGCCACTGGAAAATTTTCAAAATTAATATATTTTTTTATATTGCTGTTTATTTTACAGCAAAAAGGTCTCTTAGTATTTTTAAATGAAATGCTTGGTTTTTGAGAAAAATGGCTTCTTATGGACTCATTACATGTGAAATGGTTATGTTTTTCAAACAAAGTAATACAGCATAAAATATTTAATATTGAGAAACAAACAGAAATAACATTTAATAATGCAACGTAAAATCAATGACTGAGGAAATATGTCAAAATACGTATAAACAATTGTTATTCTAAGAATCACCTTCAAGGAGCATGAGATTTTTTTCAAAAATCTGTGCCACCTACATCCGTTTCTATAAGTAATAAAATAAAAAAATACTTTTAGATGTCACTTTAACATATTATTAACACATAACTGATATATTCTGGACCCCTTCTTAATCACGAATTTAAATAGTGTCGTGTATACATACTTCATTCAATCATTACCCTGTTATCTAATTGTAATGAATCCATAAGAAGTCATTTTTCTCAAAAACGAAGAATTTCATTTAAAAATAGTAATAGACCTTTTTGCTGTAGAATAAACCGCAATGTAAAAAAATAAATTCATTTTGAAAAATTTCCAGTGCCGTAGAAATTATATTAAAAATAGGGGTTATCACAGCCTCTTACCGACGCCTATGATTGTTCTATTTTCACAATAATTTATAAAATGGATAGAGCTTTTCATTCGTACACTTCACTAAATATAAAACAAATAGCTTTCATAGTTTAAGAAAAATTAAATAAAAACCAAAAAAATAATGTATTTTCAAGAGCTTGTATCTCCAAAAAGAAGCCTTTGGAAGAAAAAGTGTATATATACTTCAAAACGACATTATTTTGATGAGATCTATTAATGGTTAAAGTCATAATCATAAAATGTGTATCACCCTGTATTGTGCACTAACATCTTGTTTTTCTGTAGAGATACCGAAAATTGTAATTATCTTGAAAACCATACCCCCTACTTAGCATTTATGAGATATTTTAATTGAAAAACTTCTATTTACAATAATAATAATTTTATTTTTTCAGTAATATCGTGAAATTATATCCTGAATTGACTATTACACGTAGGTATAAGTTTTAAGTCTCAAACTGGTATGAAATTATTAAGAAATTTCAAATTTTAATTTAAATTTTGTACGGCCACAAATAAATAAAATTAAAAAAAATAATTTAAAAACCAGCTTTTATTAAAATACACTAAAAAGAAAAAAATAAACCAATGAGTCCATAAAACCCATAATATTGTTGTTTTGTTTTTAAAATATTTTTTTTTTTTACTTTTCATTTATTTACACCTTTTTAGTTAGGGAAATATTTCTCAATCTACCCATTTCTGCTACTAATCGTTGAGGAGTGCCCACATGAGGATATCCTGGCTGCAGCATCAGTTATTTCTATCATTTTAGTGTATTGTCATTAGAACTGAATAAGCATGCAAAATTTCAAGGTGGTAAGTTTAGAGGAAGTGGTTCAAATTTGGCTTGCAAGATTTGCACCAAACATACAAACATACATGTGAAGTTAAATAAGAGCTTGTAAAAGAGTTGATAAATTTACCACGCTTATTACCGTAGTATGCTTTGTAACATACGACCATCCTTATATCTAATAAGGATAATTTGTGCCAAATAAAAGCTAAACATTATGCAAAATTATATATACGTATGTGACAGTAGGATCGTATTCGATGCAAGGAAAATCGTGTCATCATTTTTAGGACGCGTAAGATGAAACATTTCAAAAAAATAAAATTGAATGTAAAATCTGAAACGCCGCATCACACTCATTGTGTTCTGGTAGTAGGTGTAGTCGCCCAGGTGCATCGAGTGTACGAAATGGTCGGTTATACGTTAAATACTAACCTGGCGAGCTGGGTCGTAAATCAGAGACCGCTTCCAAAAAACAAGTAAACAACAGTGGCGCGTACAGAGGTAAAATGTAGTACATATGTGGAATTTAAAAAACAAATTGGATTTATAATAAATTGCATTTAAAACAAATAGTTTATGAGAATAAAGGAATTTTTGTAGGAACAGGGGTACCAGACGTGAACTGATCCCTTCATCCTTTCATAATGCATAAAGAAATTATTCAATTTTTAAACCCCTTAAAACCGTACTGCACTGGATTCTTTGACAGGCATTGGTTTATTACTTTGCATCGAATATGATCTTACTATTATTATTGTCTTTCGCCAAATTCATACAATGTAATATCGAGAATTACACAAGGTTTCAATCTGAACTCATTACTATTCTATTTTAGAAATTTAACTCATCTTAATCCACCGATGAACTCATTCATTCAAGATTTCGTTTTATGCTTTGCATTATATTGAAACATTATTTAGTCCTTACTCTCAAATTCGTTCTCGGATTTAAAATTCTGCTCCTTACGCCGTTTTTATTACTTACTGAAAGATAATGAGTCAAATATTACCTGGTTTGGTCAAACACATCCCTTCAACCCCGTACTCAGGAAATCTGTTGCAGTCCAGCAAATCCTTGAACCTTCCTGTCAATCTGCTGCCACACCCTGCTATAAAATCTCTACAAAAACTGCGACACGGCAGGATAATTTCATCCTCTTCCTCGCCTTTTCTACATGACGGCTGCAACACTTGGCAGACGAATTCGTAAGCATGCCTGTAGCATTCCGCATCTACCTACAGAACAATCGGGATTAAAATAGCTCCTTGCGGAACCCCGTATTACTTACCAGTTCTCTGAATGTGATAACGTCTTCACTGACGTCTTTGAGGGTCTTGTGCTTTAAAATATTAGGGTAAGTCGTCAGGTTGTAGGGTAACTTTCGACAGTACTCAAGTTGCAAGGGGTGGCACTTCCTGGGCGGTGGAGGGGTTTGGGTGACTATCTGAGAGAAGGTGGTGGTTGGTGGCGTGGTACTGGTTACCTGAGGTAAGACGTTGCTGGGATGCACTTCCAGGCTCTTGGTGTCTATGGTGAGATTCTTGAAGAACAGGGACTCCTCTACTGATATTTCGTTGGACAGAATTGCCTCTAGGTCCTTGGCCTGGATGCTTACGTAGGCGGGGTCTATGTGGATGTTGAAGTGGACTATCAAATCTTCGTTTTCGGTTCTAGAAAGAAAGAGACTGATAAAAGTCAAAGCACCTTATTTGGTACAGGGTCATCATCAATGCTAAAGTTGGCACTTCGTTCACTTTGAAGAAAATATTATTCATTTACAAATTTTTCACTAGCAACTTACTTGTGTTATTAAAAAAAAGTAAAATAATTGAGCATCGTTTCCCAGATATGTACAGGGTTAGTCACTATAATCTGACAACTTATTGTGAGTTTGTTATTGAAATTACAAAAAAGTTTTTAATACAAAGGTTTGAACTTTTTTTTATGAATTTTTATAATACAGTGTTAGAAAAAACAATTGAATATGGAAATCACTAAATTAAAGAACATATATTTTTAATGGAACACCCTATATATTAGTGCAGTGCTGTGGCTATGGACGAGGCACGCGGAACAAACAAATGACTTTGACAGAAGTTTATTTATCATCATTAATTTATTTGCTATAACAAATTATTTTAACAAAGGAATAATGTTTAAATGAGAACAAAAAATTTGTAGTTGTCCGTTTATTTTATGATAATAATAAAAATCTTTCTTAACTTTAACAGAATTTTAATACCTAATTAATAAAAACCAACTAAAACACAAATGGTCACAGATGCTCAATGTAACCGCCATTATTATTGATGCACTTCGTATAATCCTCATTAATTTTCAAAACTGCATTTAGTATGAAATGGGAATTAAATTCACTTAAATTTTGTATACATTGATCAACTTAGTTGTCTACTGCGTCTTAGTTCATCTAAGTTTACACTAGTTTCCTTATAAACCTCGTTCTTTTAAGTAACCCCACTCTATACAAGAATGTAAGATCTGGGCTATTCGAAGACCATTGAATATTTTCTCCAGTAACAATCCACAACTCAAACCTATTACTTAAATAATTTCGTACTGCACTGGTTTTATGCAGAGGCGCTCCGTCTTGGTGTCGAATTAAATTGGTATAGTCGAACTGCGCCAGGTGTTCCAATTTGTTTTCTGTTTGATTTTCAAGAAAATCTTTCTCCAGTCAAATCATCTTTATAAAATAATGGGCCAATGATTTTATTTCTCAATATACCGCACCAAACATTGAACGATGTGTATCCTTGACTTGGAATTTCCCTATTACAGTGAGGATTTTTATTTTCCCAGGTATGAGTATTTTTTCTATTATAAATGTCAGTTGTTGTAAAAGTCGCCTTATCAGTCCATACAATCGCTGAATTTTTTGATTTTGGGTAAATTTTTGGACTGGCATAGTTTTATAGGGACGGATAGGTTTATGTAACGTTCTTATAATTTTAGTTTGGCTTATTTCTAACTGTTTTGACGCATTTACTGTGGACTCTTGTGGCCTTTCTACAATAATTTAATATTTGAATTTACCATGATAAACCTCTAATGAATATTTGCTTACCTTGAAAATATAGTAATATAGTTAGCTCTAATTTTTCATTTGGAATAATTCTTCGTTTCTGTCTTCCAAGAGATTTTGTTTCTCTAAAGCGTCGCTCAATGTCGTAAAATGCAGCTCGAGATGGAATTGGAAACCCGGGATGCAAACGAGCATACTCAGCGCGCGCTGTATTCACATTATCACTATTCTTATAAAATAAACGGATACCATTATTTCTTTGTTAAAATAGTTTGTTATAGGAAATAAATTAATAAATAAATAAATTACTGTCAAAGTCATTTGCTTGTTCCGCGTGCCTCGTCCACAGCCACTGCGATCCGTCAGACACAAATTTCCCTCCTATTTTTTTCAAAAATAGTTTTAAACTGAAATATGTCGAAAAGTCCTGAATCAAACAGTAACATATTATATATTTTTGAAAAGAGGAAAATTCTTTATTTTAGTGATTTCCATTATTCAATTGTTTTTTGTAATACTGTATTATAAAAATTCATGAAAAAGGTTAAATTTAACTTTTGTATTAAAAACTTTTTTGTAATTTCAATAATAAACTCACAATAAGTTGTCAGATTATAGTGACTAACTCGTACATAGATTCAACTCTATTTTTTTTCTTATGGAACCCTGTATATTTTTATATATTCTGGTTGAATGCTTTAGAAGTTCTATGTCTAACAGTACGAGATATAGAGCCTGAAATATTAATTTCTTTCATTTCTTAAGCAGGTTTTCTTAGGTATTTTGCCATACTACAATTAAAAATTTTTAAAAATAAATAAAATATTAAACAAATTTTAGTCAGTATGTTGAGAAAACAGTTTGGAGAACAAAACTGGAAAATACTTCAAACATTATTGCACTTAAATTGCAGTTATAAATTGCGATGTAAATGAGATCATCGAAAGTTATTTTTCAAAATTAATACAAATATTTATGAATATTCATGTTTTTAAATTCGTTCATCTACATATACTTTGTGAGAACCATTGTCCACAAGGAAAATAATAATTTATGCTCGCTAAAGAATTGCGAATTGCCAAGTAATGTGTCAAGACAATTATTTAGAATAAAACCTCAATCTTTTAGTTTCGTACTGCAAGTTGAAATTAACTCTAACGTACTCTGATGGACTCTAGTTTAAAAAACAGGTTGTAAGAGCGAATTAAAATTAAATTTAAGCAGTAATCTTAACTCAAATTTAACTTATTAAGAAAATCCCAAAATTAATTTCGGCGAGTTAAATATTATCATAAAGTGTAAAATTGGGTTATTTAAAAAGCATATCTGTTAAATTACTCAACAAATTAATTTAACAAATAAACGGTTATCTAATTATTGAAAAATAAGGTACTTAAACAGTTAGTCACTACGAAAACATTTAGCGGCTACCTGCTAAGCAAAGTTATCACAATCTTGCCTTTTACATGGCAACACATAACTTTTAACTATAGCTCATTAAAAAGAAATCTAAAAACCAAATTGCAATATAAAAATAACAAATATTAAATTTAAATATAAAACATTTTCTGTTAGTTTAGAATGATTTTGTAAGGTGATTTGTTTACCGCCAACCGCAACACTCATCTCGAAAATCATGTGAATAATTGAACATTGAGCTTATAAGTAGCTTAGCTTAGTACACGTGTAGAGTGTAACAGAGCCGGCGCGGGGGTCGGTGGCCTTCGCAGCTGACTCGCGTTTTCAACTGTTCAGTTATTTACGGAATATAAAATAATATACGCCCAGTCACCATGTTGGAAAACATATGTAAAGTTTTATCAGGTTCATATCAGGAGTTATTAGACCAGTGATAAACGTCGCCGTTTCACTAAAGAAAACTTAGAAAAGCACGTAGTAATATGTTTTAACTCCTTCCAATATTCCACGGAAGCCTTGTCTCAACACTAAGGTTTATCGGGTAAGTGGTGTCATTTAAATTTGTATAGGTATTTTAACCTCTACTTAGCATTGCTCTTTGGTAATAGTACTATATTGCGACATATTTTCTGTAAACATATTAATATTTTCGTTCGTAATCTGACTACGGTCCTGTTAAACTCCGCATCGCACTAAGCCTACTTATAAGCTAGATGTGGATAACAGCACAATGATAATATTGCCAAACGGTGTGGTCAGATTGATTTGTTGCAAGTAGGGCTACTTCTGAATATTTTTTGCGACGTTTAATATTTGAAAAAATCTCTACCCACATTATCAAAATTTGGTCCTAGAACCACAAAAATTGATGAATTTTAAGTTGAATTTTACGATGTTCATATATAGGATAAACTATGGTTGGTCAGTTATGGATTTCTCTTAACTTTTACATGCACTTAGATAGGGAGAGTTCATTGTGACAGTACACGCAGTGTATCGAATAGTAACTGTGGTTGTATAGTAATTTGCAATTTGGGCAATATTTTATTGAGAAAGGACCCCGCACCGTCTTTATGAAAATGTGGGCTCAGTCAGACTGGATGAAATTGTGGTAAGTTGTTGGTTTTGAGTTACTGACCAAAAGTCTCCAAAGCACTTGGGCACGAAAACCAATTTTTTTCTACTTATAGCGTCAGTCAGTCAGTTCTGCTGATGATGGTTGCAAAGGAGTATGAGTAGAATAGAAACAGTAACTTCCGTGAAATGTTTATAGAAAAAATTAATCGAATGTCTTCGAAAAATATTTATGTATTTAACTCTTTTCTTTCTATTTCATATAAAACGTTACGAGTTTTATAATTCTGTGTAATACCGGCAACAATGTATAGTTTTTTTTTTAGTAATTAATCATATTTAACTTTTCCAATATTTTTAAAGGCTACGAGGTTACGGACAAATCTAATAGTTCAAGAGTCAACAAAAGAAAATGTGAACAGAATAGTTTGGTTTCCAAACAGTAGCTACTGAATAATAAATACATAATTAAGATGCCACCTTTCTATGAAAAGGAACAAGGTGTATCATTCAAAATCTACAATGTTGTATTTTTACTTTAAATACGCCCTCTATTCAGAATCCTTGATCGATCAGCCGATCTATTGTCCGTATGGTTGTTATATTATTTATTTTATTATATTTCTGTTTTATTATCCAACAGGTCTGTTACAAAACCCGACAAAGCAATCCGCTAACTACCATAAAAAAATAATTAGCCACAGCAACATTCATAACAAAAATTTTTGTTTTATTGGTTATACAATAATCCATTTAAGCAAGTGATTAATTAATCACAGTAATGTTACAGTTTAACACAGCTGTTATGTAGGTGCCCGCAAAAAGATGGTTTATTTTCTGTGGGCTTCTGGATCGATCAGATTATTTTCGATAAGCCATCATTTTTTATTGCGGTTAGTTAAAGAGTTAGCTATTCGCATCTGGTTTGCGAATTAAAGGTCAGTCAGTTTTGTTAATTATAATAATATATTTTTTCTTCCAGTAAATCCACAACCTTGATTGTTTTACTAACATGTTTAGGTTTGGTTATCGAATCGCAATAAATAAAATAAAAGTGAAATCAGTTTCGTTTCTTCTCTTAAAATTGTAAAAGAAATATATTAATTTTATTTATAATGAATACAGTGTGTCCTA